CCCAAAAATCCCTCTCTCCTCAAAAAAAAAATTACTTTTTTTTTGTATTTCAAAAAAAAATTACATTTTTTTTATTTTTAATTTTCTATTTTCTGTTTTTTTTCGTTTTTCTACATCACCGACCCACCCCACCCCCAAAAAAATTTCCGACTTACACATTTTAAGGTAAAAGACTTTTTTTATGCAAGATGAGCATGGTTCTAAAACATGGGTCAAGTTGAGCGGGTTGGGTTATGACCTATTGTTTAGCCCATCTTAGCCCAAGTACATTTTAGACTGGGTTGGGCAATGACCCATTTATTGACCTAACCCATCTTGACCCGCCCAAATTCAGCCTAACCCACCCAAATTCAGCCCAACCCGCCCATTTGCCACTCCTACTATATAGTATATTTATTCGCAGTCTTCTCTTCTTGTGCGACTCATGCAATTTAGAAAGTTGAGCTTTCAATTGTCAACAAGCAGAGGCGGATCCAGGATTTATATTTTATGGGTTTAATTTTTAAGATATTAGCATTGAACACATTATATTTTTAAAGTTATGGATTCATATCTATTATTTTTATAATTTTAATGGGTTCAATTGAACCCATAGTCAACCTTCTACATTTGCCTCTGTCAACAAGTGTAGTTCTCTTAAAACTTTACCATGAATATTACAGGATAAGTTTCAGCTTCTGTGTAAGTTGAATTTACTAATAGATGTTAATAAGTTAACTCATTCAGGATTAATCTGTTATGAATTTTCTATTCTAGCAGCAAAAGTAGTACTTTATTCACATTTAGCACGGTTAACTAATAGCTGTTTTTCTGTTAGCCTGTAGGGTTGCTGTGAGAAATCGAAGCAACAATCAATCGATGTTAAGGAAAATAAACACAAAACTAATTGAAGGATAAGTTTCTGCTGCATTGTGCTCAATATTGAAACGTATACACTAGCCAGGCACATAATAATTATATTTTTTATGGAGAAAGAGAAGTTGAGAGTAAGAATTTGAGAGCATTACTTGATAATTGCTGGTGAAGACTTTGTCCGGAGCCCCGAGAAAGAAGAATTTTTGGAGAACGGAGGGTTTGAGGGTTCTTGGGAGGAAGAGCATTTGGAGAACTGAGGGTTTGAGTCGGATTTAAAGTGCGAATTAGGGGAAAAGAATAAAAGTAGGCGGGTCAACCTATTTTTTACCCGACCCAACTATTAACCCGTAATGTGCTCTACCATATCCTGCCCTATTAAAAATTTTCAGAAATAATATTTTGTCCTGCCCTACCCTGTTAAAATCTTTTCCTGCATCGCTCTATTTAAAGTTTGCCCTACTCGCCCTGCCTCCATTGCCATCCTAGCAGAATATTTGGCAAAGAGATTTGTTTTTTTTTTTTTTTCCAAAGACAAGTCTTGTAGCAACCACCAAGAAACAGGGATTAGAATGTATAGAAGAGGGTACACTAACTATTTTTGTAAAGAATTAAGTCTTTTTTTGTAAGGCATTTGTCCTGATTTTCTTATTAAATTTAAAAAAAAAACTTCTCTCGAAGGAAAGAGCAATTTGTTTACCATAATTGGAATTTTCTTTTCCTAGAAGGAAATAATAAATCTCTCGTATTTGGCTAGTCATTTTTCTTGGAAGAAGTTTAAACTTCTATAAATTAAGGATCATTCCTTCTCATTTATTAGCATCCATAATGTAGCCTTAAAGAGTTTGAGAGTCTTGTTTATGGGGAGAAATTCGTGACAAATGTTAGCCTCCTATTTGTTTTTGCCTCTTTGTGAGGTTGTTCTTTTAATATTTATACTCTCTTTTAGTGGATTGCTCATCTCCGCATGTGGACATAGATCAATTGATCGAATCACGTTAAATGTTTGTATCTCTTTTAGTATATTTTTTGTTGGTGTCTAGTTTATCATCGCTCAAAGTTTGCTTTATTAGTTTTCGCATGACATGCGATTATTTCAATCCTAATATTTCTTTTTGAAGTATATTAGTTCAAGGACTTTAAATAAATTGAAACAGACGAATGACGAGTAAGTAAATCCCATCAAGAAATGTTTTTTCCATTTTTAGCCCGCGTCAGAAACTATTGACATACACAATGTATATATATACAAAAGATATACAAAAAGTATATATTTTTTGCTATTATTTTGAGACCGATTATACAGTGTCATTTTTCCAATCGAATTCCTAAATTGTTAGATTACCGTAATAGCCCTTCAGAAAAATCTTAACACTGGTATTCCAATCCAGCAACGAAACACACGATTATAATATGCTACTGAAGATTTATTTTTATTTTGTAACCATATATTCTGACAAAACTGCAAGTGTCACATTGCATTCTCAGGTCCATATCCCCTCCATAAAATTAAAAACACTCCAGAAAAAAAAAAAAAAAAAAGTTTAAATTTAGAGAATTCAAGTTTCCCGCTTTCCAAGGACAAATCTACTCATTTCGTAGTACTAAAAACATGACAATGATAAGTCCTCTTACTTTCGTTCTCCAAAGTCCAATGACAATTGAAAGCTCCCAATTTCCATGAAAATAGAAATGGCTTTTCATCCACTTGCTATTAAATGCTTTTAATTTTCTGAATTTTTTTAAAATTAAATTAGGGGTGCTTATCTGGCGAATCGAGTGGATAATTACGCTTAAGGGTTCAACTTATCAGTTATCGGATTATAAATATAGTTATCCGCTAGCCATCTAATAAGATAACGAGCGGATTGATATCGGCTTAACGGTTATCGGGCGGTTTATCGGCTAAACCAAATAGAAATTTTTGAACAATCCTAGTCATCTAAAGAAGTTGTTAATAATGGTATATTCAATTTCCAATAATAGTGGATCACTCTGTAATAGTAGGTGGGGATACCAAAGGTCCTTGGCTCTTGCCTGATATCTTGGTCAATGTTATGTAACTCCAATGATGATGCTGTCATTGGAGTTGTACATGAGGTGCTAGCGGTATGTTTATTCAGCACCGATTTGTCTTTACTTTAGATGGCATTTTCTTTGCATACTATAACCTGGAGATGTGCATGTGCTTTATAATATTAACATGCAGAAGGGTGGTCTTTCTTTGGAAAAGGTTGAAGATACTCTTGATCTAAATATATTACACATGGTAATTTTGGCGAAGTTAGCGAATGCATAACGACGATCAATTCTAGTTAGGTTGTATGTTGTGGTCGATAGTAATAGTTTGCATTTGAAATATCTTTCTTGTTATGTTAATCATGAATGCAAGGCTAATTTTTATGTGTAATCTTACCTTCATATTCATGTGCTAATCATTACGTGCAATCTTTCCGTCAGATTTATTGCCTTTTTTTACTTTATTCTATCATGTAATAAAAAGGACAATATTAACGCATCTCACATTTTCCCTGATAGATAAAAAGAACATAATCAATTAATATTCATAGAGGTCATGACTTTCTCTGGAAAAAACCAACTACGTAACAAAGATGCACATATTGTCATTCATAAGGAGGTAAAAATGTAAATATAAAAATTCTTAATGGGCTAACGGTTTATCCGATTAAAAAATTAAATAATTCGCCCCCAAACCATTAAGCCGTTAATTATAAAATCTCAATCCGTTCACCATCCATTACCCCGATAACCCGATACCAACAAGCCAATAAGTCATTCGGTTCGGTTAATGGCTACGGTTCGATTTTCAATAGTCCTAAATTAAATAGATGTTCAATCAATTGCTTTATACTCCCTTCGTTCACTTTTACTTATCTATTATAGACTTTGCACACCCCTTAAAAATAATAAATGAAGTGCATAATTTACCATGATACCCATATTAATTGATGCATATTTTCAATGGATTTGGGAAAATAATTTAAAAAGGGTAATTAATATTGTGGGTATAATAGTAAAGAAGAAATTGTCTTCTTTTGATATGCGAAAAGTGACAAGTAAAAGTGAAAATCTATTTTTAGAATATTGGATAAGTAAAAGTGAACGAAGGGAGTATATATATATATATATATGTGTGTGTGTGTGTGTATGTGTGTGTGTGTGTTTGCGTGTGCGCGCGCGCTCGTGATAAAATTATTCATATTAATTGTTGTGCACCAACCCAACAATTAATATTGTTGTAAAGAAAGTGTTGAATTTGATAAAACTATGCTCCAGAAAACCAATACAGTCAGACCTCTCTAGCTATAACAACATCCTTATATAACAACACTTTTCTATAAAAGCCAAATTTTTCTGGAACTAAATCTCATTCTCATGTTCTATTATAATATATGTTTTCTATAACAGCAATTTGCTATAACATCAAAAAACCGGAACAAACGAGACTGTTATAGAGAGGTTTGACAGTACATCATCAGGCAGTTATGAAATGCAATTGATTTCCACTTCCACTTGGTCCATAATTTTTATATATATAAATAAAAAAGTAATAAATACAAAAAAATAGAAATATTAAGGAAGAGTAAGATTTTTACGGGGAATGATTGGTCCAACAGAAAAGTGAAAACAATGGGTCAACTTATAAGTTGTCTAATAATGTTAAGTACAACTAACATGCATGCAGGTTTAGGAGGAATATTCAGGAATAACAACGGGACATGGTTGGCAGGATTTCAAAAAAATATCCACGCTGCCAACGCATTACAAGCTGAGACTCTTGCCATACAAGAGGGACTGAAGCTAGCCATAGATCTCAACCTATTTTCACTATAAATCGAATCAGACGCAACAGAAGCAGTGAAACTACTACTTTTGGAATCAAACACTTCTAACTCTATCTTTCTTTAGTACAGGTCGTTAATGCTCCAAGGGCGAGAAATGATCATCAGGCATAATTTCCTCCAAGGAAATGCTACAACACACCTGTTAGCCAAGGAAGTGTTGAAACTGCCTATCCTAGACAAACCTTATCGGGTAGCAAGCCCACCTTTTTTTGTAATGCAATAATTACGAAAGGATAAGGAAGGATCTATATGTTTTGTTAAACAAATTACGTATGATGCTTGTAATACGATAGCTAGTCTAGCTAACTAAAGTGTCCTACACGACACTTGTATGGGCAATATATCATCTGAACCATCTTAGTATTAATGCAATATTATCCTTATTTTCAAAAAAAAATGTTAAGTACAACTGATGCTCCTGATTGTGAGAAAAATAAAGTAGAGTGAATTTTTGAAAAAATATAGAATTCTCTAGAATGTCCTAATGAAGTATCCTTGATATTTAGTAGACATATCTAGATGTTCTAGAATGTTGTGAGAAGATAAGGTTATATATTAGAGACATCTAGATATTCTAGAGTATTATGGAAAGATAAGGTTCACTAGATTTTTCTTCTACATGTTCTAGAATATTATCTAGAACCATCCTTAGAGAAGTATAAATAGGGGTGGTCTTAGGCATTTGTAAGCAAGCCAAAACTCAAGAAAGCCTTCTTTCCAAAACAAGTTCTCCTATCTAAAATCTATCTTCTCTTTTCAAGCTTCCTCTTCTTTAGTTGAATCCTTCAATCTTAGTTAACGATCTTGGGTTAGCAGAAGGTCTCCAAATAATATTCTTCTTCTGCTATTCTTTACATGGTATCAGAGCCATAAGTCGGCTTTTGGATTTCAAGGTCGGGTTAGTGGTTGATTCAACTGGTTTCTCTAAATGGATTTGGGTGGTCGTGCTAATGGACTGGGGATTGAGTTATTGAACCAGTCCAACTACAAGGTATGGAAGACTTGTATGGAGTCATACCTTGTTGGTGAGGATTTGTGGGAAGTTGTCAATGGGAGTAACATAAGTCCTCCTACTGACGCATCGGGAAATAGCAATGCACGTAAGAAGTGGAAGCAGATTAATGCTAAGGCGGAGTTTATCCTAAAGAGGTCCATCTCTCATAATTTATTTGATCATATTATAAGGTGTAAATCAGCTCATGAAATATGGAGGACCTTCAATCAACTGTTCAACAAGAAGGATGAAGCTCGGCTACAGATTTTGGAGAATGAGTTAGCTAACACCACTCAAGGTAATCTCTCGATCACCGAGTATTTTTTGAAGGTTAAAGATCTGTGTTCTAAAATTTCTCTATTGAATCCGGATGAGGCTATCTCTGAAGCACGAATAAGAAGAATTATTATTAGTGGATTAAAGCCAGAATATATTCCCTTTATTACATCTATTCAAGGATGGGTTCAACAACCATCTTTGGAAGAATTTGAGAATTTGTT